CATAACATTTGTATACCTGGAGGTACCTTTGAGTTCCGATTAGTCTCAAACTTGTTGGAATTGTGTCTTTGAGTTGAAAAATAAGATTCGAAAAGTTTCATTGTGATTGAAACCTCATAAGTGCGTTTTGCCAAAATACTATGATTTTTTTAACTCTCTTCTACGATGTGTGTGTGCAGAGAAGCTGCTAGTATCGCCGTAAAGTTGATTATAATCAACTCAAGCCACACACGATTGAAAAAAGTTGCCGAAAAATTCGATGATTCAATGAGTTTTTTAGAGATGTCATTGGCTGTCTTCTTGTTGTTCCGGCAATATATTTATCAAGTCAATCTCCTTGATTATTTGTTCGACTTCTTTTTTTATTATGGATCGAACATCTTGCATTTGTCCCATGTATAACTCCAATGTTTTTTTAATACATTTAGTCTTTTTATCTATCTTTTGTATTATAATTTTTTTAGAATCCTCGGAATCATTTGGTATTATATAATCAGCATCTTTATCTGATACAAATGCCCATAATTCCGTTTCCACAGCCACGTCTGCACTTGCATATACATCCAAAAAATCCGTGTGAATTTTTGTGCTTCTTTTTTGAAATTCTTAATTTTAAATGAATTTATTTTTTGGATCTTTGATTACATTTCCTTTGCCCGATTATTATTGTAGACGGTGAAATGAACAATAATAATAATAATAATAATAATAATAATAATAATCTTCAAAATGTAGTGTGATTTCATTTTGTCTGTCGTCGAAACCTTTTATGCGTTCAATTAATAATCTCTTTTTGACAAATGTTTTAATAATAATGATTTGTTCGAACATACATCTCTTTTCTGGAGACTCTTTTTTAAGTTTACCACTAGTAAACTTGCGCAGCAATTGATAATCCCACTTAGTGAAGAGGATTTGTACTAATTCATCTTCTAGATCTTCTAGATGTTGAAATATGTATTCCGTTAGGAAATATTCTGCATAACTGCGATGATCGAATACAAGATCACCCATTTTCTTCACAACCAAGACGGCTCGACAAAGACTATTCTGCTCTTTGGAAGTCAAATATAATATTTGATCAAACACATTGAGGCGACCTCAAGAGATATATCAACTATTGCAAAAAAACACATTTTCTTTTCTACACGTGTTAACATGTTATCTAGGAGAATCACTCACTTTCCAAATGGTGTGAATCTAACGAGTCTTATGATTCTTTTGTTTTCTGAAATCCAATATGACGACTGACAGTTCTGTCGCCATTTTGAATTTGGATTCACGAGATTCATCAGATTCATCATATTCATGACGATTCGTTCACAGTAATGTGTTGAATCTGAGTGAATCTTTTGAATCTGTGTGTAAACATAAGAATATTGTTTGAATTTGGAAAAAGACTTCAATCATACAAACTGCATTGAATGATAAATTCCCAACATGTTATTCTATGTACAGATGTTCCCTATATTTGATTAAATACGTTTTCTTTTTTACACGTATTAACATGTAATTCTAAAATGACATCTGTAATTCTTAAACATTTTTTGGTAATTTGACCAAAAAAATTTATCCCTGGGATAAATTTATCCCGAGGAACATAAATAGACTGTAAGAGTATTCTTACCATTACCAGCAGCAAAATGAAGAGGTCTTTGCTAGGGGCTTTCATGTATATTCCATCCAAGAAATATACACCATAGATGACAGTCATACGAAATATTCACAATACTGGCAAAATATGCACCATATTCACGGAATATACACGATATTCATGAAATATACACCTCATATTCACGATCGGTAACAAAGATTCGACATTGCCGTAAACACATATTTTTTACATGCTGTGTATATTCTGTGAATATGGTGAATATTTTTCGTGAATATATACACGATATACACGGATTATATGCAATATTCACGAAATATTCACACAAATACGAATGTATATTTTGACTTAAAAGCCCCTAGGGTCTTTGTTTAATGTGATCTTCAAAATTAACATTGGCTCCTTTCGTGATAAGGAATTCAACGACATTCTTGTGACCTGAAAAATAACCTGGAAATCAATGAAATAGATCAAACCAAATTCTTGTTTTTTTGAAAATAAATATGCAAAATTACCATTCATAGCAGCATAGTGAAGTGGTTTCCGCTTAAGTTTGTCCGTCGAATCAACTTTGGCTCCTTTCGTGATGAGCTTATTAACGGTCTCCAATTGACCTGAAATAAATCAATGAAGAAGATTTAATCAATTCCTAATTTAGTGTACATAAATATCCAAGGTTACCCTTCTCTGCAGCGTTATGAAGATCTGTCCGGCCTGTTTCGCATTTATCGTTTACTAAAAATTGAAGAAAAAAACGGATTAATAAAGTGAAGCGAAAGAAAATACCACGAATTTATCATCAATTGAATTGAGTTTTGGTTAATTTAGCTAGGATTCTTTGCTGGATCATATCGAAAATGCCTTCATACATCAAACGGTGCTTTGTATATGGAATGGTAAGAATGAAATTTAAAATTGAAATGAATTGAAATAGAAGGTCAATTGATTTTTGGAACTGAAAAAACTATTTGCAAAAATAAAATGTCGGGTAGACAAGAAATTTGAAGATTTCTAGAAATGAAATTTGAATCAAAATAAAACAGTACATATCTCGTTTAGTATTAGCCGTTAAACATGTTCGAACGCTTGTTTGGTTGTTCAAAAAAGATCGTTCGGACATTTTTATTAAAGAACGAAGAGAACGGTTGCATTCTTGACAACTTTGACATTTTGATGTACACACACAGATAAATACGTATGAAGGATTGGAAAACGTCAGCAATGAACTATACTAACACTTGGTGTAGCAAGTTCATCGAATGTGTGAACGGGTGACAATATTCGATGACTTCAAAATCATATGAAACACCACACAAGTGTTGACAGTGCAAACTCACGATTTTTCGAAATATTTCTTTGAAAAACAAATCGTGGATGAAGCCCAGGCTTCAGAGCCCGAATATCAACAATGAAAGCTAATAAATGAATACAATTCCCAAACAAATAATGTATATAAAATGTATGGCGTTTCCAATCTCACCACTGTTCACCACAATCAGTCAAAGCATTAATGTGAATGACGCATGACAAAGTGACTTTGACAGCACACGCATATGAATTGTTGTCATGTTTACAGTCGGAAACGTCAATGCAAAATCTCCAGTATCCAGTTTCACTCTACTTTAAACGTTCATTCGAAAATGATCGTTTGATTTTATTATTATTAAACTTGAAATACACAAGAAACAAACCATGTTATAAACTTTATGGGTAAGACTAAGTGTAGATCTCGTATCAGTTTCGTAAAAAATGGGAAAAACCAAAATTGTCATTCTTCGATATGGATTCAAAAACTATATCACTATCACACTTTCAAAACCGCAACCAGAATCGAACAAACTAAACGGAGAGAAAATATTGATTAAAACACAATGAGTGACTGAAATCTAAGTATTGTCAAAAATCAAAATTAGAAAAAAAATGAAGGAAAAAAGAGCTAAGAAGAGACTCACCCATCAATTGCTTACAAGTAAACCGTCCCAACTGTCACAAATGGATTTTATAATTGAATATCCCCGATCGATTGGGGATGGAAAAAAAATAATTTTGACAAAAGGGCAGCGTCACCCCCTCATCATAGTGGGGATAGACCCACCCCCTTTCCTAAACTTCGTCTGATCAAAAAATGATGTATGTCAAAGTTGTTCAGAATGATGAGGAGAATTTTTTGGCAGAAATCGCCCCACATATGGGGTCAATTATTACAGAGTCAATTTTCTACCTCTTGGAGTGGAAATTTTGCATGAAAATGTATGGACAACTATAGCTAATTTTTTCTGGGCTATCTATTTTATCCATGGGTCAACCCCTCCGAGCCCTTCTTTTGGGAGTCCTCATACAATTATTTTGAAAAAAACTAATTTTTTCTGTATATCGGGTCAAAAAAACCCTTCACCCCGAACAAATTTCATTTTTGGATTCCTCGTGAAAAATTACTTTTAGGTTTAGAACATTTCCCATCAAAAAAATCATCCCTTATGCTCTAAACCAAGGCCGAAATACTTTGGAAGGTTTGGGGTGCGATTTGTTTAACATTCCGGCCTTAAATTAGGACATAAGGCATGATTTTTTGATGGGAAATGTTCTGAACCTAGGGGTAATTTTTCACGAGGAATCCAAAAATATAATTTGTTTGGAGGGTTAAGGGCGGTTTGACCCTATTTTGGGGATGCATTGGTTATTTTTCGCTATTTTTTCACTTTTTGACGCTCCATTTCATTTCAGGGGTGGAGGGCAACTCCACCCAAGGTGTCATTTGATTCTCTGGAGTATCTTGAACATTTCATATCGACATATTTTTGTCCTCAAACCATTTCTAGTATGAGAAAATTGCATTTTTATGTAAAAACCATCAGACGAAGCATTGTAAAGAAGGGGCCATATCCCCACTATGACCCAAAAGGGGCCGCTGCTCTTTTGCCAAAATTATTTTTTTTTCATTCTCCATCGATCTGTATATTCAACTTCAAAATCGACGTGTGACAGTTGGGACGGTTTACTTGTAAGAAACTACCACATGTTTAGTTTTTTCATGATGAATTGTTTTGATTGTGATTTTTCATTTTGTGATTTTTCATTTTGTGTTTTTAGTTGATTGCGTGGTATAAAAAGACTTGGTAGAGGGCTGGTACCCGAAGGAATTTTATTCATCTGAACGCAAAATCACTTTGGTTATGATTTTGCCCTTATTCGCGACAACAAAAATGAGTTTTAGTTGATTTTTGTCGATTTTTCATGTTTTTTTTCAACTTCTAATGGCTATATCTCAAAAAACCGAGTTTTGCCAGATATATTCTATATGCCAAATTTTAAATAATTTGTTCTTGAAATCATCCAATGTACGCATGCACCGTATCCTTGAGTCAATTCTCACTTTTTGTTTATTGCATAAATTTAAAAAAAACATATTTTACTCAATATCTGTACCGTAAGTAATTTAACCCTTTAATGCATTAATTTTTCCCAGGGCTAGGAGTACTGGTACTTGGTTGATTTTTGGCCATAGATATTCAAAAAAATATTCATAATCCTGGATTCCTCATGGTTTAGTCAGGAAATGAGATTGACATAAAACAGAGAACAATCAAATCCATTGTTTAAAAGTGTCAAAAATGTGTCTAATTGTGTGAAGTTCGAATAATTAATTTTGTCAAATTTTTGTTTTTGCACACATTTTTGTTTATAACTTTACAATCACACTACATAGACAAATATTGCCAAAGACAAAAATAAAGACAGAACATTAACAAATAAAAATTCCTTTTGAAGCAATGTGATCGATGTACGGTTTACGTTCTACAGGCGTTCAAATGTTGCCCGTCTAGAGGCGGTTGTATGCATAAGAGGGTTAAGAGGAAGCATCTGATAATGCAATAAATTTCATTTATGTTCATCGCGTCATTTCTCGATAACCCCCTTAAGATAGTCAGCGACGTCCTTGGAATCTGAACAATGATATCGATCAGTGATATAGTTTAAATCATGTTTCTTTCTAAATAAAAATGTTCAACATTACTTTTACTAGCAGCAGCTATCTTATACGGCGTCCGATTACGATCGTCTGTAGCACTAATACTGGCTCCATTGTCAACAAGAAGTTGAACGAGCTGTAAGTTGCCTGGAGGATAATATCGACCAATGAAAAAATCATCAAACCAATTTCTTAGTTAGTGAAAATAAATATTCATCATTACCATTCAAAGCAGCTAAATGAAGAGGTGTCTCTTCATGAAGGTCTATAACAGTAAGATTAGATCCTCTCTTGATGAGCTCTTCAACAACATCTTTTTCTTCTGAAAAAAATATCGATCAATTAAAAATTCAAAAGTTCAAATCAATTCATTATGGAATATGAACCATTGATAACAGCTAGATGAAGTGATGTCCACCCATATTTATCTTGACTCTTAACAGAGGCTTTTTTGTCGATGAGAAATCGGACTAACTCCAAATAGCCTGAAAAATAATAAAGTTCAAACCAATTTTTTGTTTGAGGCACGATTGCAATCGTGCACGATCGTGGGGCTGGGAAATAGTGTTCTTATTGAAAATAAATGTGTTGCTAAGCTTAAATGGGAATACACATTACAAAAAGAACTTAACATGAAAACATAATTTCCTAAAAAAAATTAAATGAATTTTCGACCAACAAGAGCGTAACATGACCTACGATTGCTACAGTATTCCTATAAAACACTTCAGCATGGCAAACACAGAGATGACTAAGCGCACGCTCAGTAGCGTATTCAGCAACTCAACTGAGAGTCGTTTTCTGCTCTGTACGTTTACACTCACTTCGTTATGAGTTTATGTGCGCACTCTGACTTTGTTGTTAAGAAATGCGTGCGCACTCTAACTCTGTTGCCTATTATGGTTTATACACACATATAAAGAGTTGAGTGTGCATTGTCTTATTCTTTTCTTTGTGTTTCTTTCTTTGTATATCCTCTCTATTGTTTCTTCGTTGTGTACGAGTGCGGTGTAGCGCACTCCGTTGGTGCGCTTATACTCTCTTCATGGAGTGGGTTTGTTTGTGCTGCAGCGCAATATCGCACTGAGCATGTTTTAAGCACGCAAACTCAGTGTCCGTGCGGCCGTTGCTCGGTCACTCGGTGCGCTTCAGTCATCTCTGGGCAAACATTTATCTTACGTTTTTAAGAATCCCCAATCCACATATATATATATATATATATATATATTCAAATTTACCCATCTTAGAAGCAAAATGAAGCGGTGTCCGCATACGATTGTCTCTAGGATTAACTTTGGCTCCGTTGCTGATGAGCTTTACAGTGACATTCTTGTGACCTGAAAAATAACACAGATCAATGCAATTGATCAAACAGATTTCCCATTCAGTTAAATTGAATATCACAGCCGGCGACAGCAGGCGCGAGTGACGAAAGCACCTCTGTGCTGAAAGTCGAACCCGCCTATATATACACGCAATTTCGAACTTTTTTTCTAAGAGGCCATCTGGTATGAATGAAGTATCGTCAGAAAGCCCTTGGCTCATAGGCCCAGAAAATGCATTAAAACTTGGGAATCGACCGACCGTCTCCATAGATATGGCCACTTAAAAATTTGGAGCAATTCTCAGTTTTTCCCATTTACCGGGGGGAGGACGAGGCCCAGTCATCTCAAAACATGGGTTTTCTGAAGCTTCTCGTCGAGACCTTTCGAACAAGACCAAGAACGTCGAAATCGGACCATCAGTTCATGAGTTATGGCCATTTGAAAATTTTCTTTGGCGTCTCCACCGATTATTCTGAGATAATAGTTTTGTCTGTGTGTCCGTCCGTCCGTACTTTTTGTCCGAGCTTTTTCAAACTTTCAGGCAATGAACTATATCAAAAACTAAGACTTTTTTGTTCCGCCATTTTTTGATTTGGCGGCCATCTTGGCCTTGGCCGGCCTTTGAAAATTCAAAAAATGGCCTTCCTTCCAATGGCTACTGTGCCTAACCCTGTCAACCAATTTCAGACTTTTAGGTATCGTTGGAAAGGTCTCAAGGCCAGCTATAAAATGGCACCTATTTGAGCTTTAAAAAACCAAGTTAGCATGGTCTTATGGTCTGAAAACTCAAAAAATGGTCACCTGGCCTTGCACAAATCGGCCATTTTCTCGAAAACGGCTCCGACGATTTTTTTCAAAATTGCCTCAAATATAGTCCCAAATTAGAGCTAAAATTTGACATATAGCTTATATCTGGGAAAACTCTGTTTTTTGAAATATAGCCATTAGAAGTTGGAAAAAACATGAAAAATCGACAAAAATCAACTAAAACTCATTTTTGTTGCCGTCAACAATGGCAAAATCATAACCAAAGTGTTTTTGCGTTCAGATGAATAAAATTCTTCCGGAACCCAGCCCCTCACCAAGTCTTTTTATACCACGCAATCAACTAAAAACACAAAAAAGGACTTTTAATGAAAAAATCAAAATCAAAACAATTCGTCATAAAAAAACAAAACATGTGATAGTTTCTTAGTATAAAAGCGATATGTAATTTTATCAAAACCAAACAATGAAATATAGATATGTAATATCCACTGGATAGTTGGAATATCAGTTATTTCGTTGCGTCGGCAACAGCGGCAGCAGCACTCGTTCGAACGAAGTGTGTGCGCATACACATCGTCGTTAAATTACTAACACAAATGAATGGTTCAGCGATGGACTGTACGTGTACGCGCGCTTTATCGCCTTTTCTCCTTGCTTCGTCGGAATATGTGTACAAGTGTATATACGGGCAACGATACATCGTCTCTGTTGTCCAGCAAAAAAGGCAATATATGTGTACGCGACGGAACGTTTGCATGGTTTCTGGTGCACACATACAATCAAACGCCTCGGACAACAGAGACGATGTTTCGTTGCCCGTATATACACTTGTACACATATTCCGACGAAGCAAGGAGAAAAGGCGATAAAGCGCGCGTACACGTACAGTCCATCGCTGAACCATTCATTTGTGTTAGTAATTTAACGACGATGTGTATGCGCACACACTTCGTTCGAACGAGTGCGGCTGCCGCTGTTGCCGACGCAACGAAATAACTGATATTCCAACTATCCAGTGGATATTACATAACTCTATTTCATTGTTTGATCAAAACAAAATGTGATTTCATCTGTCTGTCCAAAAACCAAATTTTATTTAACAAAAAAAAATTAAATTTTTTTCCACCGGTGTGCGACTCGAATTCGATTCCACACGCTCATAAGTTTGCTTTCGTACCTACGCGCTGATTTTGCTTCATTCAAAAAGGCGACAATGCTGGTTTTCTACTACAACATTTCATGTTTCATTTTCTTCGACGCTGTGTTTTCTCCATAAGCTCCCATATAAAAAAAAATACCGCCGCGACACTGGTGTTAGCAAGTGAACTATTTGACAATCACTCTCTCGAATTCGCCTAAGTTTGAAATCTTGTATACCATGTACCATATAAACATCCGTTGGATGTTGAACTGCTATTTGATTGTATTTAAAAAAAGACGTCAATCTATGAAAGCAACACATAAAATTCGTTTTTATTCCATTGAATTTTTTTAAAAATGTAATCCAAAAATAAAACAAATTTAAACAAACGAATATTCATTGCTCGGAATCTCACAAAACCGCACAAAACTACACAAAAATGCACAAAACTATTTCAAGCCGTACATACCATTGAACAAAAATCGACCGGAATATGGAATGTCAACAAACGGAATGATATTTCTATTCGTGGGATGTAAAAGAATGTATGTTTTTTTGTCGAATTCTATTTTTGAAAAGGAAAGTATGTTTTCTGTTGATTCTATCTGCGTTAAAAGGAAGTATGTTGGCATCCCGTCTAGCCTCCACGGTTTTTCGTGGTTTCCGCGGAACTGATAAGAGATTAGAACTTGGTGTCTTGTAGTACTCGAGGTCTTCTATAACATTGCTGAAGACGTCTATCTCTTATCTCCTATCAGTTTCGCGCAAATTGCGCACATAAAAAAGCAAATTTTATATAAATCTTTTTTTTCCTATCATTTTTCGCGCTTTTCGCGGAACTGATAAGAGATAAGAGATAACTGAATTCAGCAATGTTATAGAAGACCCCAAGTGCTACAACTTTGCCGGAGACACCAAGTTGTTATCTCTTATCAGTTCCGCGGAAACCGTGAAAAACCGCGAGGACCCGCTAAAAACGAACATACATTCTTTTAACCATTATTAGTTGCAATGAAACATACTTCTCTTTATTAGTACGAAGTTGGACCAACTTGAGTTCTCTTACGTCTCACTTAGATTTGTTCAACTTCATTGTGGACTTTGCATACGAAAACACGCGAAAACAATACACCAAATATTTTAAATATTACAAGAAATAAAATGATTATATTTATTGGTTTGAATTGTTTTTTTGTTAATGTGTATTCTTTTTCTTCCTCTTTACCAAAACTTACATCACATCGGTTGCGATCTGTTCAAAAAGAATATTCAACAGATACATATAACTTTCGAATTTGACATACAGTGTTTATTATACGCCATCATAGTTCACTTGCTAGCACCAGTGGCGTTGGCGATGCGAGCACAGGAGTAAACATAGCGTCGATTTTCTTTGGCTTAATACACACCACTTTGTGTTTGTTAAGGGTTAGTTGGTTTTGTTGAGAAAAAATTTTTCGGGTACAAAACAACTGATATCAAATAAAAAAACTTCTTTCGAAGTAATTCCTCGTGACGAAAGCGAACACAAAACAGCTGATATCAATTTTAAAAAATCATTTCGGAGCGATTTGGATTTGCTTTTTTTGCATTCTTCCAACTAATTTCAGAATCGCTCCGTAATGATTTTTTAAAATTGATATCAGCTGTTTTGTGTTCGCTTTCGTCACGAGGAATTATTTCGAAAGAAGTTTTTTTATTTGATTTAAAATTACCATTCGTAGCAGCATAATGAAGGGGTGTCCGCTTATGAACGTCCGTTGGATTAACTTTGGCTCCTTTCGTGATAAGCATTTCAACGACATTTAAGTGACCTAAGAATTAAAATCGATTAATAAAATGGACCAAAACAATTTCTTATTTAGTCAAATATGTAACATTACCATTCTTAGCTGCTAAAAGAAGAGGTGTCTGTTGAAAATCGTCTGCAGGATCAAGTTGGGCTCCTTCCACGATGAGCTTTTCAGCGACATCTTTTTGACCTAAAAATAACACAGATCAATGAAAAAGATCAAACCAATTTCCATACAGTTAGTACTAAAGCATTTATTGCTCTCCCTAACGGGAGCGCCATCTGTTCGGTGCAAACTTGTAAACAAAACAAAGTGACGCTAATACTCCGGCTGCACCCCTACAACATATATGCTATACAGAATATTGAGTACGCTGGGTGTCCACTGTCCAGCCGCTGACTGTCAATGCATTGAGTGTAGGCGAAATAATAAACAAAATGTCCTGTTGTTTCTTCCCTATATCAAATGCATTGACAACGGCAGTTGAACAGCACTGGATGGCCAGTACTCGCATCAGTTGTTCTGATTCTATAGATGGTATTCGCGTTAAAGATGCGACACTCCATTGAATTCTATGATAGAACCGCTATTGTGTGCTGCCACTTCCAAGGTATCATTGATACTCCAAATGGACGGGTGCAACAAATACTTCAGTACTGGCCGTATGCCAATTTCTTTTTAAGTGAACATAAATATTTACAATACCATTTTCGGCAGCTGTATGAAGAGGTGTCTGATTATAATGTAAATCGCGTCTTTTCTTCTCAACCTCCTTGAGATAGTCTGCAACCTCCTTGTATTCTGAAAAATAATATCGTTCAGTGCGGGATATGGATAGAATCACCTTTTTCCTAAATAAAATGTTCAACATTACTACATACTATACTCAGACGCTATTTGATAAGGTGTCCGATTTCGTTCGTCTATGGCAAAAATACTGGCTCCATTGTTGACAAGAAGTTGAACAAGCTTTAAGTTGTCTGAGGAATAATATCGACCAATTAAATCAATTTCTTATTTAGTGACAAAAAAAAATCAAAATTACCATTGTCAGCAGCCATATGAAGAGGTGTCTTCTCAGATATGTCTATAGCAGTAAGATCGGACCCTCTCTTGATGAGCTCTTCAACGACATCATCACTACCTGAAAAACAATACAGATCAATGAAAAAGATCAAACCAACACACACAATAGTGAGGAGTTAAGTTTTATACTAAAGTGTCATAACCAATACATTCAAATATAGTTGACATATTCGAATGGGATAAATATAATCTAATTTGTGTATATTTGTTGGTGCTGACATCTGCTTTTGTGATGAACTTTATCCCATTCGTATATGTCAACTATATTTGAATGTATTAGTTATGACACTTTAGTATACAACTTAACTCCTCACTATTGTGTGTGAATTTCTTGTTTTGTTAAAACATTTATTCAATTTTACCTTTCATAACAGCTAAATGAAGAGGTGTCCACATACGACTGTCTTTAAGTTCAATATCGGCTCCATTGCTGATGAGATTTTTAACGACATCCATGTGACCTGAAAAATAGCACAGATAAACAATATTAACTGATTAACGAACTTGATCAAACCCATTTCTTTTTTTTAGTGAACACAAATATTCTTACCATAATCAGCAGCATAATGGAGAGGTGTCTGAATATTTTCATCTTCAAAATCAACTGTGGCTCCTCCTTTGATTAGCTTTTCAACGGTGTTCTTATGACCTAAAAAATAGCACCGACCAATGAAAAAAATCAAGCCAAATTTCTTAAGTGAAAATAAATGTGCAACATTACCATTCTTAGCAGCATAATGAAGAGGTATGCGATTAAAAGCGTCTGTAGCATCAACTTTAGCTCCTTTCTTGATGAGCTTTTCAGCGTCATATGTTTTACCTGAAAAAATACCGATCAATGAGTTATTTTTAACCAATTTCTTGTTTTGGAAAAAATCAATATTGAAAATTACCATTTTCAGCAGCAACATGAAGAGACTTCTGGCCGCTTTTGTTCTTTTTGTCTACTCAAAATTGAAGAAATATATTAGATCAGTAAGTTACTTTGTATGCATGGAATGGTAAGGATAAAACGTAAAAAAAAGAATTGGAGCTTCAATTTTACTTTGTGTTACTGCTCTCTTTATTCTGGTCAGCCAGTCCTTACCACCTTCAGTTGCTCCCTTTATTCTGGTCAGCCAGTCCTTATCACCTTCAGTTTGCTTAAGATCGAATAAAGGAGAATTAATTTGGAATAACCAAATTGAACGAATTGAAATAGAAAACCAATTGATTTTGTTAACCAAAAAAGGAACATCTGCAAAAATGAAATGTCGAGAAGACATTGCTTCACAAGAATTTTCGGCATTTTAGAAATGACATTTGAATAAAACTAAATGACACATATCACAGCAGCTCGCTTATTATTGGCCAAAAGATGATGATACAGAATTGTCATTCTTGGATATGGATTTAAAGACTATTTCACTATAAAAAACATAAAAAATTGTGAGTTACCCTGAATTGGTCTCCCAAAACAGCAGCCACAATCAAATAAACTTAAAAGATTGAAAATATTGATTAAAACACAAGAAGTGAATGAAATCCCGGGTATTGTTAAAAATGAAAATTAGAAAAAAAGAAGGAAATGATGTAAGAAAAGACTCACCCATCAATTGCTTAGACATGTTTATTATAGTCAAATCACTTGAATAATAATTCAATGCCCACGAATTCAGCGTGTCATTTATAGTCAAAAATGGGATGTTGTAATCTTGTCGTTACTATGCCACGTACGGCAAAACTAAATTCCTTACGAAGGAATTTGCAAACGAATTATGTGTAGATATGTAAATTTTGCACGTGAACAACAAGTTCCAATGAAAAACGATTTGTTGATGTGTGGTAGAATCGATATGGAGTGTTGACTTTGAGTAAATAACTCCTTTACTTTTGTTTGAAAAGTGTGCGATATAAACACATTCCAGGTGTTAGATTGTGAAGACTCCACAAGTTTCGTAATTTTTTAATTTCGTTTCACGTCATATTTCACACGGAATAATTGCAACTTCGAATATTCTTGTTATTTATTCACATTTGCCATCGTATTTCGTAATTTTTTTCGTTCTGAAACCATCATACTATTTCGAAATATTAAAAAAAATTCGTTGATTGTTTTACAGGTCACGATGAAAGTCTACGTTAAACCGTATGGACCATGCACGCTGAGCGGTCCAGACTTCCAAGCCATTTCTGGTGACCAATTGCGGCGAATCGTGTTTTCCGGGAAAACTTTTCCCCCAATGATGCGCTTAGCATTTCTGTTGTATCGTTGCGTGATGGCACTTTATTGATGACCAATGAACGGGAAGTCGAGTTTGACTTCGCTATCAGCCGGAATAATCGCGTTCTGGCCGTGATCCGTTACAGAAAGAACTCCACGTCATTGGAGATCAACAACAATTGGCTGGTAACAGAGGACGGTGTTGAAAACTGTTCGATATCTGAAAATCCCGACTTGATTCATTCGCAAAACGTTAACATCAACATTACGGGACAATCTTTCATGCGTGTTGATTTCAAAGCAAAGGTGTCAACGAACCGTTCGTGATCGCGTTCGTTCGCTGTTCGTGTTCGTTGGCTTTCGAAGAACGAACAATTACACCAATATATAAAGCTGATAGCAACTATAGGGGAGTATCAGTTATACCCACGCTGAGCAAAGTTCATGAAAAGGTCATTTACAACCAATTTAAAATGATAATTCACCCGCTGCTCTCAAAACAATCAGCACGGCTTTATGTCTAATCGCAACATTGAAACCAACTTGATGGCTTTTACAATTAAAGCAAATGAAGCATTCGAACGTAAAGCGCAATTGGATGTTTTCTACGCTGATATTAAGAAAGCCTTCGATACTGTAAATCAAGCTCGGCTAGTTCGTAAACTGGCCAAATTCCCACTTAGCAATCAAATACTTGTTTGGATCAAATCATACTTCGCTGGTCGTAAGCAGTTCGTACGTGTGGGGTCGGCAACTTCGGATGCATTTGAAGTCCCATCTTCGGTTGGGCAAGGAACAGTGCTTGGTCCGTTATTTTTCTCTGCATTTTTCAACGACTCTGACTCAAATGATGATCCAACAGTCTCATTTAACTTCGCTAACGACAAAAAGAAAGCGCACATCATTGTCAATCCAGAAGACTCAATCCCTTTGCAAGAGAGTATCGACAAGTTCTTAGCGTGGTGTAAGGAAAACGTTCGAGAGCTTAACATTTCAAAATGTTGTGTCATGACATTTTCACACCGTCGAAATCCCATCTTGAATGATTATTTCATTAACGGACAGAAAGTGAAGAGAGTAACTCAAATTCGGGACCTGGGAGTACATATGGACCCCAAACTCAGTTTCACGATACACCACGAATACATCAAACGCAAATCGACAGCAATGCTCCACCTCGTCAAAAGACTGTGCAGAAACAAATTTGATCTGGACAATGCAAAACTATTGTATTTCGCATTAGTACGATCCAATCTGGAGTTTGCATCGTCAATCTGGGCACCACGAAATCCAACACACACTAACTCGAAAGTGTTCAACGCCAAGCTGTGATTTATTTGCATGAAGACTACAAAACTAGAGCGGAAAACAACTTCGTGTTTCCATCGTACTCGATCAGGTGTGCTGAATTGGACTTAGCTTCATTACAAAGACGAAGGATTAATGCGGCCATCCTTCTCATTCACAAAATAATCACTGGAAGATACAACTCTGCAAGCATTAGAAGCGAAATGTCACTAAATACGGGTGTCAGAACCCTAAGAAATCCAGAATTCATTCGAATCCCATTCTGTAGCACAGAGTATGCACAGAATTCATCATTCATCTGGGCTTGCAGAGCATTTAACCTCTCAGCCCTATTCATTGATCCAACAATCTCATCATTTGAATTCAAATCGAAGCTCATGAGATTACCTGAAGCATGTTTCGGCCCATTGAACCTGCTGGACTGAATGAGGTAGCGTTGATGAGGAGAATTTTTGTCTCTGGAGATTCCTTTTTATCAGAATAAAATGAAATCGCCAAACCAGGTGATAATTTTTTTATATGTATCTTTCATAACAAAAAGTTTATGGAATGTTCATTCTGCAGAGTTGATGGTTGCCCTGATGGAGCAAGGTCCGATGCGTAGGATGCGATTGAACCGAGAAGTTGAGAAGCGATTCCTGCTATGAAGTGCCAGTGATCAGAAGGACGATTTCATCCGAATAAATTACTTGGGAAGGGAGATGAAATGAAGCTACCAAACAAATGAATGAAATTACCAATTGTTTTGATATTGCCTTTTTTGACTTGTGAATTTAAAATTGATTTGCTAATTCATAACACTTTGATATTAATTTCTATTTGCATTCATTTTGCCATTTATTTGCGCATCTATTGC